GTTGAGTTGGCAAGGCCCGTGTCGGGCCCTCCTCCGTCGTGCCAGGTATGTTAAAAGCCTCTGTTTAGGCCTTGCAGGAAATATTCGCATGTATAACGTCTACTGTCAGCCCGTCCTTCAACGCGTTGCCCAGTTTTACCCTATTACTGATTCTGTTCGAGTTGCTGAGCGTGAGGCTCTCCAGCAACTTCCAGTGGCTCCGCGATTCTCGCTGTCTAGTGCGATTCTATGTGACCTGAAGCGTCTTGGTATCACATGTGACGCTCGTGCAGTGGAGCCCAGCGCCCGTGCCGCCCTGTTCCGTGCCGCTCTGCGCTCTGATGAGTTTGCTCGCGGTCGTGAATATCTGGAAGAGTTTACTCGACATGATGATTGTGAACTGTTCTATATGAGATATCCCACGTATCGGAGTTCGTCCTTCATTCAAATACGTACCAACTTCGAGTCCCTTATCGACATGCCCTGTATCCCCACTGAGCTCATTAATGGTCTCCAGAGTAAACTTGTGAGATTCCTGTCTCGTCACCTCTACCCCCTCCCCTCTGCACGCTCTTTTGGTGCCCGTCTGAACTACTGGTGCCCCCTCTCCCCTCAGCAATGTGATGTAACGATGGCAAGACTTTGTAGGATTGGTCAGAAACTCGGCTCCTGTGTAGCGAGCTCAGTGTTAAAGACGCTGTGCAATGCTTGGGCCACTTCCCGTCGGTTCCGTGCGGGCCGTGCTGGATGCAGGTTTGGTTGCTATGCAGTAGGAGGAGACGATCTCCTCCATTATTTTGTGTGCCCGAATCTGGTCCCCCGTGTCCGTGAGTGTCTTCCATGCCTTCCCCCATGCTGGGGTACGGATCCTATCTCCTCCTTTGTCCTCGCGCTTGTCCCTCTCATCGATTCTGATTGCCTGCTCAGTGTCGGTCTAGCCATAGATGCCGTGCATGCCTCTTTCAACGCCCAGGGGACTTCTGGGTCTGTCGGTCCCAGGTCTGCCCGCCTTTCACTGTCTGCCCGACTGCGGGCTCATGCAATCCGATGCTCTGTAGCACGATCTCTAGTACGAGGTCTTCGAGGCGCGGGGTTGGACGGGTAGCGGACGGACGTTCTTGCCCTCTTCTCGCCCTCTTGCCCGCTTGCCTTCGTCTCGTTCTTCCAAGCCGAGTCATGTGTCCTCCGCCTCCACCTCCACGTCGCCCCGCGCGTCCTCGAACACCTCCTGCAGCTCCTGCTCCACCACCCCCTCCTCCAGGACCCACTCCAGCACCTCCTCGTCCAGAGCGCCGGCCGGCCTCGCGGCCCGCGCGGCACTGGCCGCAAGCGCAGCAGCCTGCGCCAGCGCGGCCGCGGCCGACCAGAGGGCCGCCCGCGCGCCGGCCGCGGCGGCCGCCTCGGCCGCGGAGTCAGCCGCAGAGGCAGCCGCGGCGGCCCCGGCCGAGGAGCCGGCCACGGCGGCGGCGGCCGCGCCGGAGGCGGGCGAGGTGGCGGCGGCGACGGCGGCCCCGGCGGCAGCGGTAAGCCGCCGCGGCGGGGGCTGCGCACACAGCAGCGAGAGCCGCCGCGGCGAGGGGCCCGACCGGCAGGCCGGGCGGCAGCGCCGCGGCGTCGGCCCGGGACGCGCCGGCGGCGCGGGCGGCAGCCGCGCGCCGCTGCCGCCGCCGCCGCGTCGTCCGGGACTCCATCCAACCCCGGCCCCTGTGGCAGCGGACCCAGGTCGCGCCGACCAACCTTGAGCCAGAGCGGCCTTGAGCCAACGGGCTTGAGCCAAATGGCTACGGATTCCTCCTCCTCCTCCTCCTCCTCCTCCCCCCCCCACCTCCTCCCACTCCTCATCCACCCCTTCCGGGGGCGGCCATGAATGGGGGGAGGATGGCAGAAGGGGCAGGAGAAACAGGAGGATGATGACTATGATGAGGAGGAATAGGACAGGAAAGAGCAGGAGAAAAAGAGGAACGGGGAGAGGGGGAAGAGGACAGGCCATAGCTCCTATCGGGATTTGTCGGTCAGCTTTCCAACAACGTTGCCCAGAAGAGTTGCTTTGATGAGGGGAGCGTAGGAGCACGCAGAGAAACAATGGATGAGGGATGCTGTTTGGCTTGCGGTTGGGTGGCTGCTCGGGGATTCCTCTATAGGAGCTAGCTTGAGATCTACTTAAGAACGCGTTAGGTTTATTCTGAACCACCTGAAGCGGCACACTATCGTGCCACAGCGCCTCATTATGCAGCGTTTGAGGCACAAGAGCGGATGTCTTTGTGTAGGGCTCTCGACATGATGCATGGTTATGTTCCTCCACCATGCTTTTTTTTTCGTGGTTCAACTGCCAGCGATGCCTCCTCAGCTAGTATTTCCCCGTCGGCAGAGCGACGCATCTGCCCGCATGTTTAGATTCGCGTCACATTTTTTGGGGGGCGTCGCATGGGTGTCGCGATGTCAGGGGCCCGCGGACGGCCAGAGACGATTCCAAGAGGGCCCAATGCGTTCCAAGTTGTTTACGGCGGTCTAGAGACTTTGCAATATTGTCCAGGATGGGCGCAGAACGGTTCGAAAGGTCTCCACGCTTTCCCTGGATTGCTCAATGAACCACCAAAGGGGTTATTGACTATGGCGTGCCGTTCAATGAACAGGTGCTGCGGCGGTGCAAAAACGTACGCAATCATTGATCGCGTTATCACCAGGAACCCCTGCGATTAAGAGAAGCCTGGCAACTCTTCGGGAGGACACGCCCGGGCAGCTTGAGATCCTTAGCGGCATTTGCCAGGTGAGTACTTGTGTCCGACATGCCTTGGGCGGATGGCTGCAGCATCCATGTGTCAGTGGGAAACGCGGCTGAGGGGACGGGGAGCGGCGATCTGTTTTCGCGTGTAGAATTGTGACGGAGCAAACTATATTATGGTAATTCTAAACGCTTCGCGTATCCCCACCAGCCCACCTGTGGCAGCTTCTGCATGGTAATATTCTGGCATCGCGCCCGTTTGCCTCATACCGCCCTCTGGACTCTTCCTTGCGGGCCGCAAATCAAATTAGCCTGGCGAGGGACCCGACCATATGCAGTTGTGAGTGATGCTGGTGTGAGTACCGTCTTCGGTGGATCTCCCTATGGGGCCACGAACCGTTTGAGGGGTGTGCCGGTATGGGTGTGGGGGCGGCATGCGAACGTTGCCACTGGGGCCTTCGGTTGAGCTCCTTATGGGGCCACGAAACGTGTGAGGGGTGCACCGAAGTTGGTGTGGGGGCGGCATGCGAACGCAGCCACTGGGGCCTTCGGTGGAGCTCCCTGTGGGGCCACGAAACGTGTGAGGGGTGTGCCGAAATTGGTGTGGGGGCGGCATGCGAAAGCAGCCACTGGGGCCTTCTGGAGTTTCCCGTCGGTGCCCACGAAACCGTGGTGAGGATCATATATGCCGAAAATGGGGATTGGGGTAAAAAGTGGACCGCATGCGCAGGGAGGGGGGGTGGGTGGGTCGGGGGGGGAACAGAGAACCCTGCACATAAGGGGGCATTTCGTGGAGCTCCCTATGGGCACTAAGCCGTGTAGGGGTGTGCCGAAATGGGTGGATGGGGGAGGCATGCGGACCTTGCACTGGGGCCTTCGGTGGGCTCCCTATGGGCAACCGACAAGCGTGTGAGGGGTGTGCCGAAATGGGTTTTGTGTTAAGCATGCTGACTCCTGCCACTGGGGCCTTCGGTGAGCTCCCTGTGGGGCCACGACATATCTATAAGGGTGTGCCGAAATGTATGGTGGGGAGGCATGCGAACGCAGCCACTGGGGCCTTCGGTGGAGCTCCCTATGGGGCCACGAAACGTGTGAGGGGTGTGCCGAAATGGGTGGTGGGAGGCATGCGAACGCAGCCACTGGGGCCTTCGGTGGAGCTCCCTATGGGGCCACGAAACGTGTGAGGGGTGTGCCGAAATGTGTGGTGGGGAGGCATGCGAACCCTGCCACTGGGGCCTTCGGTGGAGCTCCCTATGGGGCCACGAAACGTGTGAGGGGTGTGCCGAAATGGGTGGTGGGAGGGGGCATGCGAACCCTGCCACTGGGGCCTTCGGTGGAGCTCCCTATGGGGCCACGAAACGTGTGAGGGGTGTGCCGAAATGGTGGTGGGGAGGCATGCGAACGCAGCCACTGGGGCCTTCGGTGGAGCTCCCTATGGGGCCACGAAACGTGTGAGGGGTGTGCCGAAATGGGTGGTGGGGAGGCATGCGAACGCAGCCACTGGGGCCTTCGGTGGAGCTCCCTATGGGGCCACGAAGCGTGTGAGGGGTGTGCCGAAATGGGTGGTGGGAGGCATGCGAACGCAGCCACTGGGGCCTTCGGTGGAGCTCCCTATGGGGCCACGAAACGTGTGAGGGGTGTGCCGAAATGGGTGGTGGGGAGGCATGCGAACGCAGCCACTGGGGCCTTCGGTGGAGCTCCCTATGGGGCCACGAAACGTGTGAGGGGTGTGCCGAAATGGTGGTGGGGAGGCATGCGAAGCAGCCACTGGGGCCTTCGGTGGAGCTCCCTATGGGGCCACGAAACGTGTGAGGGGTGTGCCGAAATGGGTGGTGGGGAGGCATGCGAACGCAGCCACTGGGGCCTTCGGTGGAGCTCCCTATGGGGCCACGAAACGTGTGAGGGGTGTGCCGAAATGGGTGGTGGGGAGGCATGCGAACCCAGCCACTGGGGCCTTCGGTGGAGCTCCCTATGGGGCCACGAAACGTGTGAGGGGTGTGCCGAAATGGGTGGTGGGGAGGCATGCGAACCCTGCCACTGGGGCCTTCGGTGGAGCTCCCTATGGGGCCACGAAACGTGTGAGGGGTGTGCCGAAATGGGTGGTGGGGAGGCATGCGAACGCAGCCACTGGGGCCTTCGGTGGAGCTGCCTATGGGGCCACGAAGCGTGTGAGGGGTGTGCCGAAATGGGTGGTGGGGAGGCATGCGAACGCAGGAGGGAGGAGGGCGAGGAAAAGGAGGAGGAGGAGGAGAAGGAGGAGGAACGCGGGGACCGTTTCTTCAAAACGAGGACCCAACACCACAGGATGGTTGGGAAAAATATCCCCACCAGTTCCGTAGCCCCCCTGGCTCAAGGCCACCCTGCCAGCCAGCATCGCTCGACCCTCTCCTTGTGAATAGACCTCATCGATCTCTGCGCACGCGACGAGCATGATGAAGGCGTGGGCGGCCACCAAGTACGGCGATGCCTCGGCGCTCTAAACAGCGATGGACGTAGAGAAACCGCAGCCAGGGGCCGGGGAGGTCCTGGTCAAGAACATGGCCATCGCAACCAACCCCATCGATTACAAGGTGATCGCCGGCGCCCTGGCACCAGGCGAGGAGGCGCCCCCCCAGCGCCTCATCGTGGGCTGGGACAGTGCGGGGGTGGTCGAGGCTGTCGGGGAAGGAGTAACAGACTTCCAGGCCGGTGACAAGGTCTGGTTCGCAGGTGACATCACCAAGGACGGATGCTACTCGCAGTGCACCAAGATCGATTCACGGCTCATCAGCAAGATGCCCAGTACGCTCTCCTTCGAGGACGCTGCTGCCTTGCCGCTGACCTTCCAGACAGCGTGGGAGGGCATGGTGGAGCTGATGGGCGTCCAGAAAGGCAAGTCGATCTTCGTTTTGAATGGCGCTGGCGGGCTCGGGTCGATCGTCATCCAGGTCGCTAAGCACCTCGGGCTCACAGTGATTGCCTCCGCATCGCGCGCGGAGACCATCGAGTTTTGCAAGCAGATGGGCGCGGACCACGTGGTCAACCACCGCAACGAGGACCTCGGCGCTGAGCTCAAACAGGTCGGCTTCGATTGCGTGGACTATATCTATAACGCCCACGAGAACGATCGCCTCGGGGAGCTCTTCAAGCTGCTGGTGTGCGACGGGAGGCTTATGGTCACCTACGGCCCTACGCAAGAGCAGATGGCGAAGGTTGACTGGACCACCGTGTGGCTGAAGAGGCAGACGCTATGCTTCCAGATGATGTTCGCGCGGCCCATGTTCAACACTGAGCCCGCGATGGTAGGTGGCGTGATGGCAACCATGGCAAAGCTCGTGAACCAGGGCAGCATCAAGACGACTGTCACGAAAAAGTACGGGGGCATGGAGCATATCAATGATGCCACCAAGCTTCAGATGTCTGGCAAAAGCATCGGCAAGATCTGCCTCACCATGACGCACTGAGGCTCTGCTGGTTTCCCCCCTGATTTGTTTCGGGGAGCTTGCAGGGTGTTAATCTTCGGTGTGCCTCATATTTTCCATTGCTTTGCCTGATATCATCGGCACCTTTTCGAGCGCCGTTTAGCCCTGCAGCTAGAGTGCGCTCGGAACATGGTCCCCGCGTGCGCCCATGGAGTGTTCATATCCCGTATGACGGCCCGGCTCTTCCTCGTTGCTCTCCCGCGCATCCAGGTGTGCGGAACTCCTTGGGACTCTGTGACTGTGAGGGACTTGCTGTCTTGGGTCTACGACGGTTGTTTCAGGAGGGAAAGAAACACACAGACACAATTAATCGTCGACTCCCAGGAAAATATGCAAAAATATGGGAAGTGGTGGGGAAGACAAAAACCCAGAAAATATGGGAAAATATTGGGGATATTTTTATTTGTGTGTATTTATTTGTGTGTTCCAGTTCCCCTTCATTGTTGTCCTTCCGAGCGCCCCCACATGGTTGAGTTAGTCGCCTGGCGCTACGTCGCATAGTTGTTCGGTGCACGTCACTCCCGAGCGACCCCGCGTTCTCGCTGTGGCTACCCGTGTACCCCTACTGCGTCCTGACCAGTTCGCTGGTCTCTTGTACGCAGGCGCATCGCTCAGCAGTGGTTGGGTCTCCTTTGGCTTCTCGGGCTTAGGCTTCCCCTTGCGTGGATGCGTTCTCTGATGCTGCGACGGTTCGCTGGCGCCGTCAGAACCTTTCTCCTGCTGGACGACGTCACCAGTACTGTCCGATCATACCCGTCAGACTCCCTGGAATGACTTTCCCGCACGGGGACCGTTCCCTACCACGCGGTCGTCTTACTCGGTCGCGGCCTGGGACGTACTGCGCGTCATTTTGGCTGCGCCTGGCTCGTCCGAGGGCTGACCGTTCAGTCTCCCTGGGTTGCAGCTTGCACGACCGTCTCAGGTGACTGACCTTTCAGACTCCCTGGGATTGCACGACCGCCGGCCCCTCAGACACCCTGGGTTGCCGCTACCTGCCGCCTGATCCGCGGCCCCGCGCGCGCTCGGGAATTTATTCGCGGCCGCAGCCCGACCGTGACTGTTCGCCGCTGGCGCTTCCGCCTGCGGCTGTAAAACAAAAATATCCCCACTAGCCCGTCCAGAAACGACGCCCAGGCGAGTAGAGGGTCGTCCTGAGGGGCTTTTCGGCGTCTTGGGTGCCTCGGGGGGGCCTCTGTGGGCCGTTCGGGATCCTCTTTGGGGCCTCCTGGGGGCCTCTTGGGGCCTCTTGGGGCCATCTTGGGGCCTTTGGGGGCCTCCTGGGCGCTTCGTGGGGCCATTTGTGCCCCCTTCAGAAGGCCAAAATGGGGCCCAAACCATAGTAAAAAGGCCTCTGGGAGCACCTTGGGTGCCTCTGGGGGGTCTCTTGGGGCCTCTTGGGGGTCTCTTGGGGGCCTCCTGGGGGCCTCTTGGGGGGCCTCTTGGGGCCATCTTGGGGCCATCCTGCGGCCTCTTGGGGCATCCTGGGGGCCTCTTGCGGCCATCGTGGAGGAAATCGATCAAAGAAGAGGGGAGCTTAATTAGCCTGCCCCCTCAGAAGGCCAAAATGGGGCCAAAACCATAGTAAAATCAATGATTTTGGCTTCCTCGCCGAGGCCGTTTTGGACGCTCTGACCGCTCCCCGCCCCTCCTGTCCAGGTCAGTGGGGAGGGGGTAGGGGGAGGGGTAAACCCCTCCCCGAAGGGGAAGAGGGAGGGGTGGAAGAGGAAACGCCCTAAACCACCGACGCCCAGAGGGCTGGTGGGATTAGTCGTCGATTCCCCAGAAAATATGGGAAAACATTGGAAGTGGGGGGGAAGACGAAATCCCAGAAAATATATGAAAATATGGGGAATGCTTTTATTTGTGTGTATTTATTTGTGTGTCCTGGGGCCCCTTCAATGTGGCCGAACCGAGAGACCATGTTGAAACATTTGCTGCGCAACATGTCTCCGCCGCGCAGCGATCCGTCGCCGTCGCCGCTTCCGACGCGGCCGTTTTGCTGTCGGATCTGATCAAAGGACTTCATGAAGTCGACGAGGCTGCCCATCTCGACGGCTGGGTCGTTGCCCAGGTGATCGTTCGAGTCGAGGAGTCGCATTTTCTGCAAGGGCAGGATCTTGTCGACAGTGCCTCTAGCAAGTCCGACCCCCGGCACCTCGAGGCGAAAGTCCTCGCGGTCAGAGACCGCAGCGGCTCGCGAGCTCGACTCCCCCATGAGGAAGCATAGGGGCTCGCGATGTCAATGCCAGACGCAGCGCCTGTCGCCGTTCGTGGATACCTACAGGCGCTTCGAGACATGGTTGCAGCCCAAGTGGCCGCAATGCGTTCCGAGACCAGCGACGTCCAACATGACCGTGGTGGCGAGCTCTGCCGGGCCGAGAACGCTGCCAATCAACGCGTCGACGACACTCACGTCGCAGCGATCCTTATCCGCCAGAGTCTTCGTGCTCCAACTGGCCGTGGTTGAGCTGCGTGTCAGAAGGGCCCAGACTGGCCAATATCCGTAAGGGCTTCGCCCCCTGCCGCCGGCCCCCTCTCTCGGAGAATGGGCCATGGAAGAGCGAAGTCATGAGGCTTTGGCCTCGCTGTGAAGCAATGTCGGGACCTGTTTGTTTTTCGACCCTGACCCTACGGATCTGCGTGAAGGGTGCCGCCGGATTGCAGAAATGTGGAAAATTCCTTGTGTTTTTGCATCCTGGCCCTGCCGATCTGTGTGAGGGGTGCCACCGAATTTCAGAAATGTGGCAAATCCCCAGTGTTTTTGGACCCTGATCCTGCTGATCTGTGTGAGGGGTGCCAGCAAATTTTAGAAATGTGGCAAGTCCCATGTGTTTTTGGACCCTGACCCCGCCGATCTGCGCGAGGGGTGCCAGCAAAGTTCAGAAATGTTGCAAGTCCTCTATGTTTTTGGACCCTGACCCCGCCGATCTGCGTGAGGGGTGTTAATGGTAGAAATGTGGCAAATCCCGTGTGTTTTTGGACCCTGACCCCGCCGATCTGCGTGAGGGGTGTCACCAAATTTGCGAAAAGTTGCAAATAACATAACAGCGAAGACTGATAGGTTTCTAGTTGGCTCAAAAGAAAGCATCTTGACCCCCCAGGGGGGTCTGGGCGGGATCTGGACAGATCCGGACAAGGACGAAAGGGTCAGCCCCAGGAATCCTTAGGAATCTTTAGGAATTCTTAAGAATCTTTAGGAATCCATTCCCAGAACACAATTCCCAGGCCACATTCTGAATGCCCGGAGCCAACTGTAGGCCACTTCGTGATCTTCGTGTTCCCAGAACACCATTCCCAGGCCACATTTTGAATGCCCTGGGCCAACTGTAGGCCACTTCGTGTTCTTCGTGTTCCCAGAACACCACTCCCAGGCCACATTTTGAATGCCCAGGGCCAACCGTAGGCCACTTCGTGTTCTCCGTGTTCCCAGAACACCATTCCCAGGCCACATTTTGAATGCCCGGGACCAACCGTAGGCCACTTCGTGTTCTTCGTGTTCCCAGAACACTATTCTTGTACATATTTTGATTGCCCGGAGCCGACTGTGGGCCACTTCGTGTTCTTCGTCTTCCCAGAACACGAGTCCTGTGCCATATTTTGAATGCCCGAGCTGAGGCAGGCTGAGGCCGAGACAGGCTGAGGCCGAGGCAGGCTGAGGCTGAGGCTGAGGCACGCCGAGGCAGGCTGAGGCTGAGGCTGAGGCAGGCTGAGGCTGAGGCAGGCTGAGGCTGAGGCTAACGCAGGCTGAGGCCGAGGCAGGCTGAGGCTGAGGCTGAGGCAGGCTGAGGCTGAGGCAGGCTGAGACTGAGGCTGAGGCAGGCTGAGGCTGAGGCTGAGGCTGATGCAGGCTGAGGCTGAGAGGCTGACGCTGAGGCTGAGGCTGAGGCTGAGGCTGAGGCTGAGGCTGAGGCCGAGGCAGGCTGAGGCTGAGGCTGAGGCAAGCCGAGGCAGGCTGAAACTGAGGCTGAAGCTGAGGCAGGCTGAGGCTGAGGCTGAGGCTGTGGCTGAGGCTGAGGCAAGCTGCGGCTGAGGCTGAGACTGAGGCTGAGGCAGGTGCAGGCTGAGGTTGAGGCAGGCTGAGGCTGAGGCTGAGGCAGACTGAGGCTGAGGCTGAGGCCGAGGCAGGCTGAGGCTGAGGCTGAGGCTGAGGCTGAGGTTGAGGCTGAGGCTGAGGCCGAGGCAGGCTGAGGCTGAGGCTGAGGCTGAGGCTGAGGCTGAGGCCGAGGCAGGCTGAGGCCGAGACAGGCTGAGGCCGAGGCAGGCTTAGGCTGAGGCTGAGGCAGGCTGAGGCTGAGGCAGGCTGAGGCTGAGGCCGAGGCAGGTTCAGGCCGAGACAGGCTGAGGCTGAGACTGAGGCTGAGGATGAGGATGAGGCCGAGGCAGGCCGAAGCTGAGACAAGGTGAGGCTGAATGGGGGGGGAGGGGGGGGGAGGAGGGGCTGAGGCAGGCTGAGGCCGAGGCGGGCTGAGGCCGAGGCAGGCTGAGGCTGAGGCTGAGGCTGAGGCTGAGGCAGGCTGAGGCTGAGGCAGGCTGAGGCTGAGGCTGACGCAGGCTGAGGCCGGGGCAGGCTGAGGCTGAGGCCGAGGCAGGCTGAGGCTGAGGCCGAGGCAGGCTGAGGCTGAGGCTGAGGCAAGCCGAGGCAGGCTGAAACTGAGGCTGAAAGTGAGGCAGGCTGGGGCGTCCGTAGGAATCCATGGGAATCCTTAAAATTCCATCGGAATCCTTAGGAATCCGTAGGCATCCTTAGGAATCCGTAGGCATAGGTAAGCATCCGCAGGAATCCTTGGGAATCTTTAGGATTCTCTAGGAATCCTTAGGAATCCATGGGAATCCCTAGGAATCAGGATGCCTAAGGATTCCTAAGGTTTCCTATGGATTCCTAAGGATGCCTAAGGATGCCTTAGGACTCCCTAGGAATCCTTAGGATTCCATAGGATCTTAAGGCCGTTGCCACTGCGTCTGTCATTGCGAATGCGACTGCGACCGCGAGAACAGCAGAATTCTACAACTGGATCCTCACCTGAATCTGACGGGGAATGATTCCAGATATGCTTATACACATCGCTGTTAGGTTGTTTTGCCTGGATAATCTTTTTTTTTGTTTTTGGACCCTGACCCCGCCGATCTGCGTGATTGGGTGCTACCGAATTTGAGAAATGTTGCAAATCCCGTGTGTTTTTGGACCCTGACCCCGCCGATCTGCGTGAGGGGTGCCGCCGAATTTCGGAAATGTGGCACATCCCATGTGTTTTTGGGCCCTGACCCCGCCGATCTGCGTGAGGGGTGTTAATTTTTACCCACCCCAACAATTCAGACAATGCGATTTGG